GCGTACCCCATACCCACACCATCCGAGACCCCCCACATCCCCTTTTCAGCCTCATTCAGCCCCCCATCCTGAGTGTACGGCACTTGTGCCGGCGACAACACACAATGCGACAACGGCACCTCCGCTCTGGCATTGCGCGACGTTGAGCAACGTCGCACCGAGGGCCACCACCGCCACCACACACACCGCCCAGCTACAGCCACAGCCACAGATGGAAAGGTATAACCAACAGCCTGCCGCTCTCACTCCAAAGAACAACTCCCAGAAATCTACATTCAAACGATTTCATTCATTATATTTTATATAATTTATATTTTCCTCCTCGTACATCGTTTCCATCCTTGTATATAAGCTTCTGTCCGTTGCCGGATCATAATAATAAAAACCAACCTCTGCAACCATTAATTAACAACTCCCCGCCACCTGTAAACTCCGTCCCGAGCGGAGCGACGAGCCGATCAATACCTTTTCCTCGAAGTGTGAAGATTCCAGAGAGATTCGTTGCTTTTACGGCAGTGCCGTACCGTACACGTCACCACATCAAACATGCTGCGTGATTCCTGCTTGCTGGATCTGGACCTGAATCTGGAATCTACGTAGCCTGACTCACCTTTTTGAGTTTTAAACACACATCGCCTGGATCTGGATTTCGATCTGGAACTGAATCCTGCCAGGACGCACCCGTACACAATCTTTGCCTGTCTTCCCCGCCCATCTCCGCCCATCGGCGCGCAGATTTATACCACAGATAAACTACTGTTCACATAATCTCTATATATAGTATAGCCGTTTTGGTGATGTGTACGTCGTTGTACGTCGGCGGCGGGCCAGATGGGCCCCCTAGGGATTCGTTCCGTCGTATGTCTGTCTGTCTGTCTGTCTGTCTTACGCACTGCTGGCCCCGGCTCCGTGACCTTGCGTCGACGGCAGCATACTCGACCCCGTGAAGGAGTCCCCTGCTGCTCCTGTCGCTAGAGAGCCCAGCTCTGGAGGGGGAGGAGGAGGGGGAGGAGCAGGAGGCGGAGGAGGACCAGGACCAGGAGCAGGAGCACGTTGCAAGACCGGACTGATGAGAGCCGCCGGCATGCGCTGCGCCGGATGCGGTGGCGGCGGCGGCGGCGGCGGTGGCAACATCAACGGTGATGACGGCGGCGTCGCCACCGGCACTGCCGTCGCGACGGCGGCCATGAGGCGCTCCAGGTGCGCCTCCACAAGGATCGCTGGCGGCCTGTTTTGGGGCTGACGTTGCAAGCAATGAAGCGCCACTGCCCGGTAGGTCTCCGGGCACGAGGGTGGGAAGGCGGGGAAGATGCTGCTATAGCGGGGGCCTTGGTCGGTGCGGATGCCGGCGCGGCGGCCGTGGTAGAGCTCCCATAGCATCACACCCAGCGAGAACACTTG